TGGAACACAGCAGTTCCTGTGACTGTCCTTCCAAGAGCACAGCAAACGTCAGGACTCCCGTCCCTTCTTTCCACAGACCGCGCCTTCTTTTTCCCACCTTGACTGTGGGGCTCATGAGGGACTTTTTGCTTTATTTCTGCTTGGTTGCACTCCCTGATTTCTGCCCTCAGGGTTTCTTCTGTCTAGCCATCACTTCCTGAGGTTTTTAGTGCCATGGCCTCCCCGGCAGGCTGGCTTACATTGGTGGCCTGGAGGATCTGGGAGATTCCCCACCCTTGGGGACAGTTCCCTTCTCCTTGGCAGGGCTGCTCAATGACTTGTTCCTTCTGTGAAAAGTCAAAGTGCCCCTTTAGTCATGATATTTCCAGAAGCTTACTGTGAAAATGGGTGCAGAATGTCATTGTCTACACCCCTTTCACACCTTTAATAATCTACTGCATGGGGGCACCTGGGTGGCTCAGTCGGGGGAGCGTCTGCCTTCGGCTCAGGTGGTAATCCCAGGGTCCTGGGATCGAGTCCCACCTTGGGCTCCCTGCTCAGGGGGAGCCTGCTTCTCCCTCTCCTGCTCCCCCTGCTTGTGCTTGCTCTCTCTCTCTCTCTCTCTCAAATAAGTAAATAAAATCTTTAAAAAAAATTAATAACCTACTGCACGGACCCCCACCAGGCTGGAAGCTGGTTTTCATCTCAGTTCTGCAAATACCGGTGAGATTCTGGGCCCTTTTCTCAAAGTCACTGGGCCCCATCTGGAAAGATAACTTCTAAGGGACCAAATTTGTGATTCCATCAAGTCCTTTGGTTAGTTGGCATCACAGAAAAACACAGCGTCTTGCTAATGAGCCCCTGTCAGCCTGACTCCTCCTCTCTGTAATTCCTGAACATAGCCCAGCGCTGACACATGGTAGGCAGCGAATAAAATTTGATGTTTGAATGAATACATGACAGATTTCAACAGACACTCTGGAGCCTGCTTTGTCAGGGACGTGGTAAATGACATGAAGGTCATGGAGTTATAAGGACTTTTAAGGACTGGGCTGCTCTCACCTCCTCTACAATTAAACAAGGCAGCCTTGGGGGTGGTGTTCCTCCTCCCCACTCTGCCCTCTCCTCAGTCTTGTCTTCCCAGTGGGTATTCTGCTTGGGAATGAATCCTCAGGGCCCAGGGGAAAAGTGTTTAGCAAGCACTGGACAGAACACAGTATGCTTAATAACAAGTTAGGCTGCCCCCAAATCGCATCTTGTCTTTAGCAATATCTGTAATTGACTTCTAAGTAAACCAGCAGCTAAACTCACCACTAGCTCCGGGAGAAGGATCTATTGTCAAGCTCTAGGACAGAACATTTGGCTTGAAGTCAGCATCCTTCCATTCTAAAAGTGGCAGCAAATACAACAAAATTAAAAGCAAGGCCCATGCCTCTCAGAAAGAAAAGGGAAGTTGTAGTTGTTGTAAATGTGCTGATTTTTAATTTAATGGCACGATTATTTTTTCCAGAAAAAAACTATTATTTAAGCAACAGTATAGACTACTACGGATGGTGTCAAAGAATGATGACATTCTATGAATTTGCAGCAAGAGTCAGTTCATCGAGGTTAAATTTATTTTATGGGTGCACACCTCATCAGATTTTCTTTTTGTCTTAACTCCTTTTAAATTAATATCTATTTTAATAACAACAATATAAGCAAATTATCCTCGGAACAACACATAAGGAAAAACATGTTGGTTTGCTTTTGCAAAGGTAGGAAAGGGCAGGGAAAGAGGCAGACATTTTATTGTACCATTTGAATTTTGAAATGTGTGAAAATTCTATTATAAAAAATGCTGATAAGATAATGCAGGTACATAATTTAACAATCAGTATTATAAAAGCTAGTTCTTTCCCCAACCTCCCCCTCCCCCCTAGCCCACCACCCCCACCCTCGCCCTTCTTCAGAAGCATCTTCTTTCAAGCCTTGTAGTGCTTCTTCTTGGACTTAGTCTCACACTTGTAAATAGGATGCTCTTGATTTCCATTTATGGCATTTGTGAATTTGTTCTCTTACAGAGCATGGCCTCTCCTGTCTCTTCTTCATCTTCTCGATATGGTTTTATCACACTTTTTTGGTTGAACAAATAGCCAATGTCAGTATTGTGCACTGGTGAACCAAATTCTACGATTTGCTTCCTTCTCTTACAGTGTTCTGTTTTTATTTGCTTAATTTTCTGGGGTGTTTTTCAAGTGACCCCCCCCCGCAGAATTTTTTTTTTTAAGATTTTATTTATTTATTTGTCAGAGAGAGAGAGACAGAGCACAAGCAGGAGAGCGGCAGGCAGAGGGAGAAGGGGCTCCCCGCTGAGCAGGGGGTCCCATGTGGGACTCGATCCCAGGATCCTGGGATCATGACCTGAGCCGAAGGCAGCCACTTAACCGACTGAGCCACCCAGGCATCCCCCCTTGCAGAATTTTTTTCATTCTCCCCATCCTGCGATTATCACCGCTGGTTATCAACAGCAGCACCAAGGTGACTCGCTCGTTTACTAAGAGCCTCCTTTGTTCCCACTCACTTTTCACGGAGATTGTGTTACCAACACAGTCCTACTTGGAAAAAGGTAAATTGAGTTCTGTTTCCTCCAGGGATATGCCTCTCTCTCCTGCAGCTGCCAGAACATCCTGAATATTCTTCCTTGAACTCCCTCTCCTGCCTCACGAGGTAAGCGGGGCTCAAGGTGTAAATTCGTCTGCTCACATCAGAACACATTGTAACATAAAAAGCTGGTTTCAACAGTGGACAAGGATTTGTTTATGTGCCCAGGATCACAGTGGATGGAGAGTGCCCGATATGTTCCCTAAAGTCAAAGACACCGGGCAATCAGGCTTATCCAATAACATAGGGGTAAGACAGAACCAACAAGAAGTGCTATAAAAGCTGACTTTTTTCCCTTCCCACCTCTGACTGATATTTTTGTCACCTCTTAAATGTAGTAGTCTTTGTAAAGTTCTTTCCTCCTGTGTTTTTACCTTCTAACCCTGTATGCCGGATACGACATTAACATCTTCCTGCATAATCCAGGTATTTTCGTAATTTTTTGGAAACTCATTTTGCCTCCAAAGCTTGCTGTCTGCATGACCACTGACAAACTACTTAACCTCATTGACCTCAATTTCTTCATATCTAAAATGGGAATAATAATGAACAGTATCTTAAACATTTGTTGTATTTAATGAGAAGATCAATGTTTAGTCTAGTACCTGAGACTTAGTAAATAGTCAAATATTAGCTATAATCTTTAGGTTGGAATTATCATTTATTACCATCATCCTCATTTTATTTGGTCATAGAAGGGAATCTTAATGCATAACTTCACCATCTTCTAATACGCAGCATGATTATTAAGAACTCTGGTGCGATACTATAGTTAATACACTATAGTCAATATTGCATATTTGGAAGCTACTAAGAGAGTAAATCTTAAAAGGTCGCATCACAAAAAAATTTTTTTCTAACTATGCATGGTGACGGATGTTAACTAGGCTTACTGTAGTGACCATTTTGCAATATGTACAAATATCAAATGTTGTATAGCTGAAACTAATATAGTGCTATATGTCAGCTATCCCTCAGTGAAAAGAGTAGTCTGGTGACAATCTAATTTCCATTCCTATGTAAGTAAGCTGTTCTCTTTCTCCCCAGTCTTGTCTCCATCACTGATGTTTGGAAAATTCACAATGACACACATACCTTGCTTGCTTCTACTCTCACCCATTGAATGCTAGGCACTCAATTTAGCACTTTCAATCTGGACATTATTTTTTTTCCAGTTCTGAGGATTTTTTTTTTTGTACTACTCCTCTGATCATCTCTTCCCTTTCATCTTCTCTGCCCTATTTCTGGAACTTCTTAACTGGGTGCTGTACTTCTAGGATTGGCCCTCTAATTTTCTTGTCATTTCTCTCCCACTTCCCATATCTTTATCTTTTTATAATACATCCTAATATATTTTCCTTCTTTATCTTCCAAATAATCGATTGAATTCTTCACTTCATCTATCATGTTGTAAACGCCCATTGGAGGGTTTCATATACTCTGATGATTCCCATTCCATAGCCTTCTTTCTTGCTTAATGGATCCAGTACTTCCAAGTCCGTCTGAGAAGCTGATGGTTGTTCTCTTATATTTTCTTCTGTTATTTTCATTGCCTTCATTTTCTCTGAGTTCCTTTTTTTCTGGTTTGTTCTGTTATTGCTGTTGTTTCCTGTTTTCTCCCACTCTATCATGCATGTTGGTGGCTTTTCTCTACTCGGTCTTAGTTATCAGCTCAGATTTATCATTCAGCCTGGAGTTGAGGTCTTCAGTCACCACCAGGCATCTAATGAATCATCCAAACCAGATTCCCAGAGTCTACACTATAGGAAAGCCTCAGAACACCCACCTATAATCTCCTGTGGTGAAGCCTTGAAGGGTTTGGTCAGAAGAAACTGAGCGAACCAGTCTGATCCTTTTTAGACATAGGGCCTCCCTTCTCCTTCAGACAAGACTGTCTGCAAGACATCCCCAAGCACTCCTTCATGACCCCCAGTCAAGCCCATGTCATACCTTTGGGGAGAAATGTGATCCCTATTAGCCAGCTTCCCTTGAATTTCTCAGCGCTCTCAGGCAGTTTTCCTTCCTAAACAGACATCACAATTTACTCAAAATTTTTTATTTAAAAAAATAATTTTTCTCCACACCCAAACAAAAACAGTAAAACAAACAAGGGCATGTTTTCTGGGAAAAAAAAAACAAAACAACACCAATGACAAAAATAGGGGTGCATTGGTGGCTCAGCTGGTTAAGCATGGGACTCTTGGTTTCAGCTCAGGTCCTTATCTCAGGGTCTTGAGAATGAGAAGGGCTTCAGGCTTCAGGTCCTGAGCTCAGCAAGGAGTCTGCTTCCCCGCCCCCCCGCCCCGCCCCTCCCCCGCTCATGCACACACACTCTCTCTAAAATAAATAAATAAATCTTTAAAAAACAAAACCAAAAAAACAATGACACCAAATCGGAATTTAACGAGCATGGATCAGGGCACAGGGCAGGAAGATGAGAACTGAAACTCATAGGAAGGTGACATTTAGTAGACAGGGTCTTGACCTGATTGATGCTCAGATATCCTAGCTCGAGGGGCCCTGAAAAGAAAAGGTACAAAGCATCATTTTGGTGGGAAATGGGCACCAGCAACCGAATGTTGAGTAATTCTGTGGAAGAAATAAATACGCTAAGGAAGAAACTTTAAATATTAAGAGTCAAAAAGGAGGTAGAAATATTAAATTCCTTTCAAAATCTGAAAATTTTTCAGAAGAAAATTAGGAGCAACATTCTCATTTTTAACAAGAAAAATTAAAATACAGCATGTTGGGATGCCTGGGTGGCTCGGTCGGTTAAGCGTCTGCCTTTGGCTCAGGTCATGATTCCAGGGTCCTGGGATCGAGTCCCGCATCGGGGGGGGGGGTCCTTGCTCAGTGGGGAGCCTGTTTCTTCCTCTGCCTGCCGCTCCCCCTACTTGTGCTCTCGCTCTCTCTCTCTGACAAATAAATAAATAAATAAATAAAACCTTTTTTAAAATAAATAAAATAAAATACAGCATGTTGTTGGAGGGAGATTTACTTTCCATCACATACCCTTTTGCCAGACTTCTGTGCTATTTAAATTGGTTGCCAGAGACCCCACCAACCAAGCAGGAACAGAAGGTCTGGGAGCTGTGGAGGTGCATGATCTGGTATGTCCCTGTATCAGAAGCGGGAAATCGCTCAGCTGAGCAGCCTCGGGGCAGAATGAGCAAGAGAGGCCAGCCCTACAAGGCACAGTCTTGGTGCAATGTCACAGCGTAGAACCTCCCCCTTTCCCTGGGTCAGCTCAGATCACATCTGGATGTGGCAACCACGTCCCTTCATTGCACAGAGCAGCAGGTGTGGGGAAGTAGAAATCAAAAAGGAGGCAGGCAGTAGTGCATCCTGCAATTCACTCCCTGCCCTCAGCCATGGCTCATGCAGGTGAAGCAGGTGTGGCAGTTTTCCCATGAGTACTGACAGTTCTCTTGGCGCAGAGACATGTCCACACCTACTCTTAGTGCTCACTCTGGTCCACCCGCTGGATCTAGTCTCCAGGTTAAGGGAATGGCATAGAGGCAGGTGTCCCAGATGAAGAGGCATTTGCAGGAGGGTGCCATCTCTCTCTGTGGTTCCAGTGAGCCTGTACAGGCAAGACATATCCTTGTGGGCTTCCTGGAACAGCCAGCATTCTTCCAGGGACTGCACTACTCATGCAACTCATCCCCGAGTCTGGTTTTTCCTTGTAGTACTTGGTATCCCTCTGGACATGAGAAGTTCAGTTCTGGCCTGCAAAGTCCAAGGCTGGATGCCCCACATCACAACTGCCAAGACCAGAAAGAGTAGCCACCGTGGTGTCATTGATCAGGTCATGTCTACCCTGAGTCCTGAAACTGAAACAGACTCGGATTGTCAAATCCTCCAAAGATTCCAGCAAGTCCAGGCTCTCTGGACACATACCTTATGCTTAATCCTTTACCTTTTCAAAAAAATTTATTTCAAAGATGAACAACCTAATTAAAAAAAAATAAAAAGTACGTGCTCCCAGTTCATCAAAACAAACAAACAAAAAAAACAAATGACCAATAAAATAGGAGAAGATACTAAAAATTTTTGTCAGTGTTTGAACATGATTACATCATTCTGTCTTTGTTATAAGAATAAAGGGTGGAAATTAAAATTTTCTCCAGATCTCATATTTTCATTGGTTTTTTGAAAGCGTATAAAAGACTTTCCCTTGGTCCATCTTATTTTTTTCTTATATCAGAAGAGCAAGGTAGGCTCACAATTTCAAAATGAAAACTAACTCAAAGAAGGAAGAGCCAAAATATATTCACTTCTTTAGTCATGCCACCTATCTTCTTGGATTCCTACTATCTACAGTCTGATTTATTTTGGTATTGAGTTCATGCTAATACCTGAAGCTGTCAGTATGATTACTGATGTCATCTTACTCTGATGCTCTTAAAGCTGGAGATTTCTATATTTAAAAACAACATCACACCTCACAGTTAAAACTAAAATTATTTTAAAGTATAGGCTAGCAGGCTACCCATCACATTTTCTGACTTTGCTCTGATATAATTTTTAAATCATGTAGAAAGAGATGCATTCAGCTCTCTCCTCTATAAAGAACAATAGGAGGCAGAAGAATCTTAAAATAGAACACCATGGATGCCTGGGTGGCTCAGTCAGCTAAGTGACCGACTCTGGATCTTAGCTCAGGTCTTGATCTCAGGGTCTGAGTTCAAGCCTTGTGTTGGGCTCCACACTGGGGGTGAAGCCTACTTAGAAAAAAAAAAAAGAAGAAGAACACAAGAGAAGCATTGAGGATGACGTGTGGTTCACGCATCTCTGAAGTTTATCTCCTTCATGTCTTCAGCAGGACCTTAGGGTGGGACCCCAAAGAATCAGAGTTCCATCTCATAGACATTTAATGTAACCAGCATCTCTGGTAATAGGATATCCATACCTTTTTTTTTTTAAGACTTTATTTATTTATTTGATGGAGAGAGAGAGACAGCAAGAGAAGGAACACAAGCAGGGGGAGTGGGGGAGGGAGAAGCAGGCTTCCCGCTGAGCAGGGAGCCCGATGCGGGGCTCGATCCCAGGACCCTGGGCTCATGACCTGAGCCGAAGGCAGATGCTTAACGACTGAGCCACCCAGGCGCCCCAGGATATCCATACCTTTAAGACCTTTGTAGGTCCTGAGCATTCTTTGAAAGCCCCACCTATATTCTTATCAAATCCTTTAAAATGCACCCATGTCATAAATATTTATTGAGCATTGTCCTAAGCATTGTTCCAGAAACTTGGCATATAGTAGTGAACAAAACTAAGATCCCTACCTTCGTAGAGCCTTTATTCTACATAATTTATATACAACTATAGAGGAGTCAGGTTGAATTAAGTATACTTGAATGGTTGGCCTGTCATATTAGGTAGACGCTTGTACACAGGTTAGGCTAGACTCTGCTGAGGCAACAAACAATCCCCCAAATCTCAGTGGCTTAACAGAACACAAGTGTGTTTCTGACTCACTACATGTCCAGTGTAGGTTGGAGAAGCTCTGTTTTCTTGGGAACCCAGACTTCAGAAGGCATCATCATCTTGTAGCTGCACCAGTGAGCTACAAGACCTCTTCAGTCTCTATAACTGAAAAGGAGTAAATCAGAGAATCATGCACTGCCTCTTAAGTGTTTCATACCAGAAGGGACAAGAGCCACCTGCAGTCACAGCCAATGGCAGAACCAGCCACAGAGTCCTGTCTAACTGCAAGGAAACTAGGAAATGCAGGGGATCCCAGGGTTATTCATGAGCAGTAAATGTCCCTGCCACAAAGCTTATCTAATATTTATTGATTTTATTTGTCAGTTTTCCTCTTATAGTATAGAGCCAGTCAATGTTTTTCCAAGCCTCAGATATTTGCACGAAATGTCCATAGACCCTAACCGCTGTTGTTACAGTGGTTTGTATTTACTGAAAGTTTGTCATATGTAGGCAGTGTTTTTAGTGTTTTGTAAGCATGCATAAATGTGCAGTTCATCTATTCTTCACAACAACCCTGTGACATAGGTACTAATCCTATCCCCATTCTACGGCCGAGGGGATGGAGGCACAGAAAGGATGAGTCACCTGCCCCAAGGCATACAGTTAGAACATGGCAATGCCTGAGTGTGTACCACCTAGTTTCACTGCCTTTAAGACATGAAGGCAAAGACAGCCTGTGAGACATGCAGTATTTGTATTTTCTGCCTGTACCAGCGCTTATGGTAACAATAGTGAAAAGAAGAGAGAAGGGGAAGGGGATAAGCAAGATCCTTCAGGCCCAAGTCAAGCCCAGTAGTGAGTAACCCATTTTCCTGTGGGTGCCTTTCTACCCAGCACAGCGCTATAAAGAAATGGGAGAAATAGGAGGTGGCCCATCCTTTGCAACCGACTCCAGTCCACATTCTGGTAAAATGGCATAAAGCACCTACTCAACCTGTGCACCCCGAATGGAGTTAATTCTGTTTCCAAATAAATATCTGATGTCATTAGAGAACAGAAGTTATTAAACAAACAGATGGAGTTCACCGAGGCAATGATTTTCATCGTTGTGCTTGAAACAAATGTAAATGTAGCCTATTAACCCGAGATGTTGCCTTACCCCAAACTTAGCAATTAGAGATCTGCAGCACACCCCTGAGTCAGCACACCCATTCACCATGCGTGTTGTTTATTTCTGGGTTTGTACTCAGTGTGTCACCAAGATAGGCAAACAAGACTTAGAGTACACAAGCATGTGCTAGCACACACGCGCCCATGACCTAGAGCAGAAACCACACTTGAGGGCCTGTGCTGTGCCATTCCATTTATACAAAGTTCCAGAAGTGGCAGAACTTACTTATAGTGACAGACAACAGAATAGCGATTACCCCTGGGAAGAGGCACAAGGGAATGTTCTGAAGCAAAGGAAATGTTCTAAACCTTGAACTAAGGGGTTTACACATTAAAAATTCATCTAAGCCCTTAAGATTTGTGCAGATATATATAAAGTATACCTCAGTAGACTTACCTCACTCACTGGAAATCCCTAGTCAGGTAGTATATGATTCCACCATAACAGGGTCAGAAGCCAGGAGTTACCTTTACCACACTTTTAGCCGGGTGATCTTGGCCAAATCACTTAATCTCTCTACATTCCAATGTCCACATCTGTAAAAAGGGCTAGTCACTGTGCCTACTTTCAGGTGTTCCTACCTATACCCCCTTAGCCCTAGACCCAAAAAAACTCTATGTTATATTCATTATTTCATATATTTGAGTGTATATATCTAAATCTATATTTCAACGTTATAAACTTCGTGGTCCATCAATACAGGAGACAGAATCATTAGCATCCAACAACTGGTTCATATTTCCTAAAGGCAGGAAGAACTTAATCTTCAAACAACCCCAGGGATGAGTTGGGGGGGGCGGTACTCAAGGAGGTACACACCTGTAACTCCAACCTTGAGAGTTGACCTTGTACAAGTTATGGATACCAAAAGGCAAGAAGTGGGGATTAAGGGGAGCCCTGCTGCTCTGGAAGCCTGTGCACCTAGCCAGGTCCGGGCCACTGTGCTCGGTTATGTAGGTTACACACTGCACAATGCCAGGGCTGTAGTCCATGTAAATGGCATCCCCTGCAGTTGTGTTGGGCAGGATCACTGTGAGAAGCACTGTCTCACCAGCTGAATGTCACACCTTCTCCAGGAGAACCTCCCAGGTAAGATCTCACCATGGCTGCCTTCTGGTGATTTCTTAAGTGAGCAAAACCCGTCACTGCAGTGGACTTTGTTCCATCCTTATCAGAGTG